AATTAGTGCCCTAAACCAGCAGCTCTTTCTTCAGTGACAGGTTAACTGAGAAAGAAAACCAGGAAATGAAAAAAAAAAAGGAAGATTAGGTAAGTTTGGGATCAGAGAGTCTTGAACAGGCTAATAGCTCATTCCAAACAAGTTTATTATGTATAGTGTCTTATATACAGTTTGTAGGTGAAAAATGGGACAGAGTCAGTAGAAAGCTATCATACAATGGAAGAAAAAAAAAAACAGGAAGCTAATCAAGCAATGTGGATATCTCAAGTGTGTTACACACAGACCAAGGGCTCAGTGGCTTTGGGACTTAGAATCGTCAACTTTGAAGGAGGGGAAAGTTGAGTTCTCTGAAATCCCCAAGGCCTGGGCCTCAGGACATCATTGGCCATGTCAAGATCCTTCCTGGTTCTGGGAAAAGATCTAAATTCCTTCTCCACACATCAGGGCCTGAGGAAAAATCCTGGACCAGCCTGGCTCTCTACAGATGAATGCATCTTTCAACCTTCATCAGAGAAGCTGCTTTTTTTTTTTTTTTTTTTTTTTGTAGTAGATGATGATTAATGCGGAGAACTACAATTGGCCAAGGTGCCAAAAATTAGAGATAGCAGAGTGCTTGACTACACATGAAAAATCTGTAACACACACACACACACACACACACACACACACACACACACACACACACTTCCACTATGTTTGTGAATTGTAGTGGAAGAGAGGGCAGAGACTGCAAGAGCCAGAGGGAGTAGGCACTTGCAGCGAGCTTACACTGGCTATGGCTGCGTGCAGACATCCCACCATGGATGTGAGAGAGGACCACAAACTCCCACCCTCATCTAAGGAGCTATGGGCAGCTGATGGCTACAAAGGAAAGGCAAATGGGTTTTCTTCAGGGACGCAGCCCCTGAGAGACTACCCAGGATTCAGCAGAGTCCTGTGCTGGTGCACACACAGGCAGGACTAGGTTCACGTGATGGGTTTGGAGTGTAGGGAGAGTGCACACATGTAGTTGGGAGGGAGAGTTTGGGGGAAATAAGGAAGGAATTGGAGCTTAGGAATGTGGGTAGAGTTAATGAAAACATAATTTAAAAATGAAACATTCATAAACAAAAAAAAATGTTTTCTGGAAGGAATAGGGAGCAGTTACCTTGGAAGGGAGCAGGAGAAGGGGCAGACATTATAGGACAAAGGAGGAGCCTTTCAGAGGCAAGAGGAAGAACAGGCATTGTGGACAGAGCAGGGACTATCAAGGGATTGGTGGAGGCAGAGGCCATAACACGGCAAGAGGCCTCACCTAACAACAATCTCTCATGGACAATTCTGCCTGGCCCTGGCAAGGCAGCCCAAGCTCAGAACTCCCCTGCCCCCACCAGGCTCTCCTCACCCCACAAAGCCTGCATCTTTGGCAAAACACACGGGTAAACCTAGCAGCTGAGGCCCCTTGCCCGCTCAGCAATCACCTCCAGCTCCCCAAACCCTGAGCTGGAGGGCTGTGATGGCTTTGATGGCTGGCATTTCCTCCTTCCATGTGGGATGTTTGGAAAGGACACGCTTGCTTGGCAATCCTAACATGCTCAGGAATGCCAGTCTTGGCCTCCTCCAGAATTCCAGCACCTTCCAAAGCTCCTGGATCAGCCTGAGTTTTGCTGTCTCAACACAAAAAGTGGTGTCTTCAAGCAGGGCTTACTCTTAGAAATGGCAAAGGAAAAAAACAGGAAGCTCCCATTGACCTAGGGAGGCCTCTCAGGACCCCTGCCCCAGAGTTCAGTGAGAACCAGACAGCACTGAAAATTCTAGGACACGCTCACCCCTGAGCAGATATCATCAATTGATTGAAGAGCTTCCATTTCCCCCACCAAGCCAGGCTCCCTAAAATAAGCTCACCTGCCATTCCCTTGGCGGGGAGTGTGGAAAGTGTCCTCTTTGGTGGGTAGGGGTGGAAAGAAGGCCCCTGTCCTGCCTGGACAGGAAGCAGAGACTGGGGTCAAGCCTTGCTGCCAGCAGCAGTGTGACTATGGACCAGACACTGCCCTCTCTGAGCCCAGCATCCCTGTTTGTGAATGAGGTGACTGGCCCCTTCCAGCCCCTTGTGACTAGGCTAGCTTAGTCAGACATAGGTAATCAGAAGGTCCTGGGAACTAGCCAAGGGGAGAGAGGAACAAAGAAATCCCACAAGGATGGATTGCAAGTAAGGTGGGCATCCAGCCAGCATCTCTGCCCTGCCTTAGTGGTCTGGCAGAACCGCTGGGCCTCTTACCTCACAGCCCCGGAGCTGAGGTGCACTGTGGGACTGTGTGAGGGAAGTCTATGAGACACAGGCGGCCAGCTAGGCATAGGGCAAGGCAAGGGAAGGCAAGCTGCAAGAGCTCCCCCAGAGCATGTCCTGCCCTTCACATACCAGCCACTTTCCCAAGGCCACGCCTGGGCATCCGGCACCTCCATGAGCAAGAGTCTGATGTCTTCTGGCAGGATGGGGCTCCAGAACTCATTCCTTTATTCAGGGAAGTTGTCATCAAGTGCCTCTGTATGTAAGTTCCATGCTGGGCCTTGAGGAAGACAACGTGGCCTCATCAGACAAGGTCATCAAGGGCACCTTGGCTGTGACCCAGACTAGGCCCTAGGCTAGCACCATGTGGACAAGGAGCCTATAGCGTCACCGCAGCCACAGGTAGGGCCGTTGCAGTCAGATACTTCCATGAGTTTACTGGCAAGTTTTTTTGGCATTTGTTTTTTTATAAGAATGTTGGGTTCTGGGTCCTATGTAGTCATATGTAGAGATCTGGAACTAGGAAGCCATTTATCAGCTGTCAGCCTTGGGATTCAGACTCCATTTCTGACTCAGACCAGCTGTGCGCAGAGAACAAGGCCAGATCCTTCTTCCTGCAGATGGGGAGGCAGGAACAGTCAGCGTCCAGGGGTCCAGGGTCCTCGGCTGCTCTGTTCTCCCCAGCACTGTGCAAGAGGACCCCTAAATTTCCTTGCCTCCTCACTAAGGGCACCCAAGGACTAGGGGTTAAGAGCATCTTCTGTAAGATGCTTGCATGGGAATGCACTGTTCAGAGCGTGGGGTATGGGCATCTAGGAGGGGTTATGGCCAGAAGAATGATGACACCCCCCCCCAAGCTGACCTCTGAGACCTGGGGAAGGCAGCCACTGAACAAGTCCTAAGAAAGTGAGTGGGTAAGTGTTAGGTTCTGGAGGAAATTCCTCTTGTGGAGGAGCCCGTAGTCATACTGGATATCTCTGAGCAGCGACTCTGCTGTGTTGGGAGCGAGGCACCGACAACTTGTGTGGTCAAGCACCATTGGGCAGCACCTGGAGCCTGCTGGAGTCTAACGACGGCACACTTGGCAGCTTTTGACCGACCCTCTGCCAGAGGGAAGGCCTCACTCAAAGGCTCCTTCAGCTCTTGGCCCAGAGCGCTTTGTTGCCTTCGAGCACAAAGGCCGCCATTGACCTCTACTCTGCTGTCTGAGGACAGAAGTCTCACAGCTGCTGTGCACAGTATGGGCTAGGCTTTGAGGCTGCTGCTCTCGGCAGCTGCCACCTGCTGAGAGGGAAGGCAGGGCCCTGCACACCAGCGATACCAGCCGGTCAGTTGTTCGAGGTCCAGGAGGCGCTGGTTGGGTGTGGAAATCCTATCCTGTAGGAAGGCTTGGACCTGAGCCTCTAAAATTGTGGCAGACTGGTTTCCCAGCTGTGAAGGACTTTGGCTGGAAGGGGACCTCAGGGGGAGAGGATGGTGAGGGTCTCGTGCAGGATCCTTTGGAGCAGCGCCAGGGAGATGGCTCAGGGGGTAAAGAGCTTGCATGCAAGCGTTAGGACCCGAGTTCAGATTCCCAGCTCTCCCACAGGCAATTTAGTGCAGCAGCGCACACCAGTACCCACAGCACTGGAGATGGAGATGGGCAGATGCGGAGAGCCAAATCCTGAGGTCCAGGTCCAGCGAATGAATGGACTTTAAGACGGCGACTTTTACATCACAATGTCCACATTCAGCTTTCAGTTCATGCCAGGCATAGCATCACTCACCTATAAATCCAGCACTAGGGAGGGGAAGGCAAGATCAGGGGTTTGAGGCCAACCTGAGAACTGTGTCTCAAAAATAAAACACCTCAACGAGCTGGAGAAGTGTAGCAGTTACAGCACTGTTCTGTTTAGCTCTTGTACATACTTTTTAATGCAAACAGATGTAAAATTTTCAATTTATGTACAATTTTAAATGCTGCTACTTGGCATCAAAATGAGACACCCTGGGTCAGGTCTTCAATAAAATCCTTTCAGGCCAGATATGGTGGCATACACCTTTAGTCCCACCACTCAGGGGGCAGAGGCAAGTGGATTTCTGTGAGTTCAAGGCCAGCATGGTCTACGGACTGAGCAGGACCCCAGGACAGCCAGGGCTATGTATAAACATACTTCCTCCAACAACCAAAACAAACTAAACAAAAAACCCTTAATAGAACCTTTTTAATCCTTGAGCAGAGGAAAGAGATGCAGAAATGAATACCCTCTAGAGACACAGGCAGAGAATAAGCTCCTCCTTACAAAGGAAAACCAGGGGTCACCCTTTAAATGTGGCTGATCTGGGGACTGGAGAGATGGCTCCATAGTTAAGAGCACTGACTATTCTTCCAGAGGGCCCAGGTTCAATTCCCAGCACACACACAGTAGCTCACAACCATCTGTGACTCCAGTTCTTCTGGTTCCATGTGCACCCAGGCACATACATGAAGCCCAGGCACACATGCAGGCAAAGCACATGAAATAATTAAGAGGCTGGTTTAGAGTTTCACAAATAACATTTATTGGCTGCATTCATAACAGACTCACGCGGACATTCATACCAGCCCCCCCTTCAACGAACAGTCACGTGGCGGCTCCTAGCTCGGATTGGATCCTGGGTGCAAATCTTATCATGTGTGGAAACAGCAAGTGTCACAGGTCTTCCCGATCTGAGGGCTTCCCTCGGAGACCATGACCATGACTGACGTTCTTGCTGAGGATCTTGACCGTAGCTGAAGACTCCAACTCAGTCCCAGAACAAGTGGCTGGAAAGCCAAGGGAAAGGCAAGTGCTAGGAGCTGTACCCAGGCTGAGTGCTTACTGTCCTTGGCGTGGGCTTACCAGGAGCCTCCACAGCCAGGACGGTGTGGGTGTGCCCTCAGTCACTGGGTTCCCCACATTACTCAGGAACTGGGGGAGTGGACCAGGGTCAGCGTTGCCTCTCTGATTCCCAGCTGTGAGACCCGGTGAGCCTCTGACCTCCAGTACCCACCCTCAGGAAGGGAGGAAAGGCCCAGTTTTGTAGAGCTGTGGGAGTGGGCGATATGGGAGCTATGCAGGGCACGGGGGTGGGGAGGGCAGCACTGTGCGGGGGAGGATGGGAAGGTCCACAGCACCCTTATCCTAGGAGGGCTCTGAGCTGGACCTTCCGCCACCAAGTATCTGCTAGGCTCCAGGGGCAGCCAGGCCTGTGATGTGAAAGTTCACGGGGCTCCCCACATCCCAGCTGGACAAGGGGGCTAGGCCGGCACTGCTATCCCAGAGCCAGGCCTGTGACGCCAAGGGTACCTCTTCCAAGCGCCTTCCAAGTGCTGTCACCATGGCATCTGAGGGCTCAATGGTCTTTCAGTAAAGGATGTAAGTCTGGGGCAGGGTGCTGGTGGTAGGGACTCTAGATTCCAAGGGGAGTGATGAGTCTAGACCCCCCCCCCCAATCCTCAACTCCTCAACTCACCGAATGGCCATGATGGCCCTCAGGACAGCCTGCAGCAGGGTCAGGAGGTTGAAGGTGAGGGGCAGGAGGCCTAGGCGGCCAGCATGTGCCTCATCCTCCTGGGAACCTGACAACTCATCTTGATGAAGGCTCTGGAGCCGCTGCCACTTGAGGAGGAGACGCTGGTCCCCACAGACCTGCCAACAGCCGTGCCATCTTCTTGAGTCCAGGGGGCAATCTAGAAGTAGGAGGAGCATTTGTTAAGGACAGGGCAGAACCTGGGGGCCCAGGAGCTGAGGATTGTGGCTCCGGGGGGACCTGGCCCCACCCAACCAAGGTGCAGTTTCTTTTTTCTTTCTCTTTTCTTTTCTTCTTCTTTTCTTTTTCTCTCTAAAAGGTAGAGGCCAGTGAAGACAGCGCCTGATTGGGTTCCCACAGCTGAGTTTGGGGAGAACAGCTGATCTAAGTCTCCCCTCCTCCAGCACTGTACTTCAGTATCTTTCAAAGAGTTCTCAGACACAACTAGAGAAATGGCTCACTGGTTAAGAGTACTGGCTGCTCTTTGAGAGGACCTGAGTTCAACTCCTAGCACCCCCACATGGTGGCTAGCCACCTTTGGTACAGTTCCAGGGTCCCCAACTTCCTCTTCTGGCTCCTGAGGACACTACAGGCACAAGGTAGACACACATGCTGACAAAACAATCACTTGTAATTAATTAATTAATAATCAGCTGGTGGCCAGGCATTGAACAAGACACCTGACACTGACACGTGCGCTTGCACCTGAATGTCTGCGTGCACATACCCACACAGACAGGCTGGTACACACATCGCCACGACCCACCGGCGGTCTCTAGCCTGCGCTGTTTGCTGTGGTCCTCCGGCACGCGCTCCTTCCTTGTGCGGAGTCAGTCTCCCCGTTATGTTTTTCTGCCCTAGGAGCAGCGGCACCCTAGAGTGTCACAGCATGGAACCTGAGTGTGTGAGTGGCAGGCCATTTCCTCTACGCGATGGAACAATGACTCTCTGGAAGGTGACGCAGCGGTTAAGAGCACCGACTGCTCTTCCAGAGGTCCTGAGTTCAATTCCCAGCACCCACGTGGCGGCTCACACCTGTCAGTAACTCCAGTTCCAGGGCATCAGACACCCTCCCAGACATACTGCACGCAAAACACCAAGGCACTAAGGCTCAGTGCTTCCATAGCAAATGCTACAGCCATACCGTGCAGAGTCCCAACATCTGAGCTTCCTGGAAGCCCTTCAGTATTCTCAGGTAAGCTCTGCTCAGAGCAGGCTCCCCAGCATTGATATGTTTTTTCCACAGTATTGCAAACACACTATTGGCAGAAATGAGCCCTAATTATATCAATGCAAAAACATTTAACATGTAACATGATAACTACATTTTCCTTCTGGAAACAAAACAAACAAACAAACACCACAAAACCACAAAAGCCCGGAGCAGAAGAGCAAGGAAACGTCTTTTGCAAGAAAAATGAAAGATGAAAAACATGTCCAGGGATGTATCCCAGCAAGTGAAAGGCTGACTGTGATTCCAGCACAGGCGAATGAGAGCATGCGTGCACACACACACAAGAGTATGCAAATGGAAACCCATTGGATTTGAAGGCAAATGATGAAATCACACTGGGCTGGAAGAGGGACAGAAGAGGAGACAGGCTGTCCTCCTGATCCTGCCTCTGATGTTTCTTCATGTGAACAGGTGAGAGGCTTGCCGCGTGAACTCTGGAAGTTACCTGAGCTGAGGGACATGGTGAAGCCCCTGCAGTCCCCACCACAGGGGAGGCTGAAGAGGGACAGTGGCCTGAGCCTAGGCGTTCACACACAGCTGGGGGTGAGTAAGCTCTGATCTCAACAACAAATCAACTAGAAAGCATGGTTGGAGGGGCTAGAGAGACAGCTCTGAGGCTGGGGCACTGTCTTCTCTTGCAGAGGTCTGAGCTTCGAATCCGTACTCCATGTGACAGTGTTACTTCTGTGGCTAGGAACGGGGCGTTTTTACACATTTAAGAACACCGTGGTTGGTGGCTGTCCATTCCCAAGCTTCTCATTCCTTCCTGGTCATTTCCTAGCTCCTCTAGTCATTTGAGCTTTTTCCCAGAATGCCATCCCCACCCGGAGATCCTGCACAAGGCACCAGGCCAGAGCCTGGAAGTATCTTCAAGATCAGGTCCAGGACAGTGGGTTCAAAAAACATGAGCAGCGTGGGGAGAAGACGCCTGCCCTCTCCCAGGGATCCGAGCCACGGCACACGTGCCTGAGTCCACGTCACCAGCGCGAGTGTGCTGCCGAACGTGTATGAACCTACACTGAGTACGCGGATGTGATCACACGCTGTCAACATGAATACAGGAATGCATGCATGCCAGGCCACATGCGTGAGCAGCCTGTGCATGCACTATTATGACTGTATTGTATAACGTGTGTGTGTCTGTGTGTGGCATTAGACCTGTCACATCATAAATACACACCAGTTCCAAGTGACCATGTGCAGACATTCCATACCACAAGTCACAGAAGTGACACCTGAATAAAACCTCCCTTCAGATGGCATCAGCTCCGGCTTGCCGCTTCGGAGACTGGTGGTCATTTGTAAAAGGACGGCAGGCAGCTGTGATGCCTGGCAAGGGCTGGGGTGTGTGTCACCGGTGTGGCTTTGTCCCGCCCCCTTCCTGAGGCAGAATGAGGTGACACACGGTGTGGAGTTACCTGGAGTGTCTCGAAGATTCTCCAGCCTCTTCACCACCTGGGAGATGAGAAAGTGGGTCAGTGTGTCGTCTAATGAGCCACGGTGTGTGGGGGGGATGGGGAAGGGGGAGGGGTGCTGTGGCTCCCAGTTCAGGTCCGAGTTCTTTGTGCTGGGGACAGTTTGCTGCACAGAGATGGAAAACCCAAAAGTGGAAGGCAAGAGGAGAGAAAAATGAGCCTTCTGACTAGCCCTGAACACAAAGAAGGCCCTGTCAGATGCAAGAAGGCGGGATGTGGAAAACTCTGGCATCACTGCCTGGGGGCGGGGGTGGTACCAGAGGAAGGAAACCCACAGCCTTGGCCCCTCTCAGCCACCTCTTCGGAGCTCTGGACAGGTGCAGAGAGATGGGCACAGGGCGTGGTAGGGAGAAAGACAGGGGGGGAGACAGCAAGGAGGAAAAGATGCAGCGGCCTGGCTACCAGATGGCCCCTCACCCATCCTCAGGGAATGAGGCCCACACTTCCCAGGACCCCCACAAGACAAGACCTCTGCCCTCAGCTGCCCTCACCAGGGCCGTCAGGGAGGTGCGGCCCCTTGGACTCCTCCCCTTTTCCCCTCACCCAGTCCTGTCTCACACACCGCCTTCTTACCTTCTTCTGTGACCTCAGCCCCTGGGGCACCCAGTAGGGCATAACAGCCCTATCCCTGGGCATCGGAAGGCGGCCCCCAAAGCAGTGGCAGGGGCAGCGACATGACTTTATGGCTCTGGGGACATAACACCGCATCATCTTTGAGACCTGCCAGTGGACAGTAAGAAAGGTTCAAAAGGGTGAGGGTGGCACCGGGTGTGATGGCACGTGCCTTTAACTACAGCCCTCAGAAGGCAGGTGGGTCTTTGTGAGTTCAAAGCCGGCCTGGTCTACATAGGGAGACCCTGTCTTTGGGGGGCGGGGGCATAATCCAGCTAGTAGAGTGTTTGCCAACCACACCCATGGCCCTAGGTTCCATCTCCAGCACCGCCAGATATAAGGGCCAGCAAGATGGCTCAGCGGTAAGCGCAGCTTCGGCCTAGCCTGTACTCCTGTGTTCACGCCCTGGGACTCACAGTGGAAAGAGAGAACTGACCCCTGTAATTGTCTTGACTTCCACACATGCCCCTTGGCACATATACACCCACACACACAATACACACACACACACACACACACACACACACAAAATAAATAAATATAAAAAGATTCCCGACAGGCACGGTAATAACAGTAGTTTGAATGAGAATGGCCCCTAGAGGCTCTTATGTTTGAATACTTGGTCTGAGCTGCTGGGACTGCTTGAGAAGGATTAGGGGATGTGTGGTCTTTGGTTTGTTGTGAGTTTTTTGTTTTTGTTTGTTTGTTTTGAGACAGGGTCTTTCTATGTAGCTCTAGCTGGCCTGGAACTCACTATGTAGGCAGGCTGGCCTTGACCTCACAGGCCAAGAACTTCCTTGGCACACTGTCGATGGTAAATGGACTGTCTAGAAGCCTGTGGCAGGCACAGGAGGTAACCAAAGTATCTCTCCACCAAAGTCCATGCGGCTCTTCTGCCCTGGCAGGGGAGGGCGTGGGCAGGCCCATGGGTATGAGTGCCATGTCATGGTGCCCACAGGGGAGCAGCAGGTACAAGGGAGCTGGGAGGACACTCAGGAGAATACACACACCACAGGAATGAATCTCAAAAGGCCTATGCAAGCCAAAGAAATGGTTTAGCAGGAAAGGGTGCACGGCCACAAAGCCTGATGATGTGAGTTTGATCCCTGGAATCCACAGGATTGAAGGACAGATCCAACCCCCAAACACAGTCTTCTGATCTCCACAAGTATACCATGGTCCCATATGTATACACACACACACACACGTATACACATACATGCATACATGCATACACATATGCAACCAAAAATATTTTTTAAAAAACTTTAAGAAAAGAGGAGCTGAGGAGCTGGCTCTGTGGGTGAGAACACCTACTGTGCAAACATGAGGACTGAGTTTGGCTCCCCAACACCCTTGTGAAAGACAGGCATGCACTGTTCACACCTGTATGCCCAGCATTCAGGGGTAGAGACAGGAAGATCCCAGGAGCTTGCTGACAGCCAGCCTAGCAGATGCAGCAATCCCTGGGTTCAGTGAGGGAGTGTCCCAAGTCGATAAGACAGAGAAGGGTAAATAAGACAAAAGACACCGTGGTGGTGGTTCTGGTGGTGGTGGTGGTGCATGTCTTTAATCCCAGCACCCGGGAGGCAGAGACAAGTGGATCTCTGTGAGTTCCAGGCCAGCCTGGTTTACAGAGTGAATTCTAGAACAGCCATGGCTAAAACAGGATAAACCCTGTCTTGAAAAACAAAGAAAACAAAACAAAACAAACAAACATATCTGACAATATACTCTGGCCTCCAACTCTATTTGTATGGATGTGTGCAGGACCTCACAGGCAGAAACAAGCATATAACACATAAACACATACACACACACACACACACACATACACACACAATTAAAAGGAAACAAAAGGGGTGGAGGAAAGGTGAGGAGGAAGGTGGGCAGGGACTGTCATCATTCAGCAGAGAGCACTTCAATCCCCAGCATCAACATCAATCAGTCAATCAATCAAACCAAAACTGTGTCCCAGGAACTTCAGTCATAGGAGACCTGTGATTCTGATGGCCTCTGGGCCCAGTCATATGTCCAGACCCTAAGCGATGACCTGCCAACTCACTCACATACCTGCTTTCGTGGTCTCAGGGACAGAGGGACCCAGTAGGGCAGCAGTGCATCAGCCCTGGGCACAGGCAGGTGGCCCCCAAACCTGGCATAGCACTGGCAACACATGCACTCTGGGAGGACGGTGCGGAGGCCGGGGTACACCTGAGCAAGATACACAGAGGACAGAACTAAGCGGGATACACCTGAGCAAGACACCGAGGACAGAGCTGGGTATGGAAGGCATCTGTGACAGGACTGAAAGGCAGTTCCCGGGGGGAGGGACGGGGACTCAGGATGAGGCCGGCTACATGGCCGTTTGCAAGCTGGGGTCGGGGGAATCTTGGCCACTCACTGCTGCCTCACTGTGAGCAAGTCTGTCCATGGAAGATTCGAGCAACTGGAGGCAGAGGAGTCAGCTACTCCCTGGTTCACCTGTGGCTTTCTGTGTGGTGCTAACCACGTGTTGGGGCCACCACCCACGCTCTAGGGGTAGATGAAGAGGCTGATGACCAGGGCGGGACACTGTGGGGGACTTCTGGATTTTCTGGCTCAGAAGGGACTGGTAGGGAGGAGATACGGGGGCATCAAGATGACCCACACCACCACATGCTTCTGTGGGGGCCAGCCTGAGGCCCTCATCTCCCTCCTCCCACCCAGAGGAGGGACGAGAGGCTGCGGGCATGCGCTCACCGTGTGACCTGTGATGCACACCTCCTTTCCAAAGGTCTGAAGTGAACCCTTCCTAGAAAAGAGAAACACACTGCTGAGGATGTGCAAACCGAGGGCTGGGCACTGGTGAGCCTTGGCACCACGCTCAGGGTGGAGAGGCTGTCCTTTCGTGCCCAGGAGGCGCTTCGGTGTGACAGAAGGGCAGGCTCACTCACGTGATAACTTCCCCATTGATGTGGGACCCTATGTTCCAAAGCCAACTTGCTTCAGGATACTCCGGCTAAAGCCAGGCCTGGCTCTCAGGAGAGTCCTAAGGTCCAAACCTCCCAGGGGCCCCACTGAGCCTTCCGTGATGCTTTGCTGGCTACACACAGGCCTACTGTACTAAGAAGGAGATCCTGTCGAAACTGCAACAACCCAGTAGAACCGGTGAATTTCAAGACACAGGGGCACAGAGAACAGAACAGAAGAAAACCAGAGCGGAACATAAAACAGGAGACAGAGCAAAACAAAGCAAAACACAGGGGGTCAGAGTGGGCAAAGGGGGACAAGGATAGAGGGAGACACAGCAGAACAGTGCTCGGAGTGACAGTTTCTCTTCCTGGATCCCAGCCACACACTACCAGGATATTAGCCATGAGATCTCAGGCGTGTGGACATCGAATGTCAGGTAAGGCTGAGTTTCTGTGGCGGTGTCAGCTTGCTTCGTGTCAGAAAGCACACACCCGAGCGTTTTTTGTGTTTCATTACAATAATCACAGTCATTACCATCTGCTTTGCTGTTCTGTTAAGGCCTATGTAACCCAAGCTTGCCTCGAACTCACAGCAATCCTCCTGCCTCAGTCTCCCAAGTGCTGGGATCACAGTAGTGAGCTTGGCGTGCTTCAGGCCTTTGTACTCAATTCTCCTAGCTGATAACTGAAAACAAGACACAGGGGCTGGCCTACATAGCATCTGGCCTACCTCAGGCAGCCCACAATGGAAGTGAGGTCAAGCTAGTCTCAGAGATTTGTCTTCACAGTGTTATAACCCTTAAAACTAAGTTTGGAACTGCCTGCTGGAACCAGTGGGAGCAACTGGGCTCCCTTCCTGAAAGAGCTACCCTAGTTACCTCAGGAGGTGGTCACCTGGCCTTGGCGGGAAGCCAGGGAAAGGGGAGGGCTGGGGGAAAACGTCCGCGCTACAGTCCTTGCACACCTGGATACAGCCATGCCTGAAGACCTGCTCCTGACATTTCCAGGGATGGAAAGAGAAGGTCGCCTTTCCGTTTCCTTGCCACTGCGCTACCGCTGGACTGGGCAGCCTCGGGGCTCCGGGCACTCACAGGTGAGCTCCGAGGTCACCTGTGCAGGCTCTGGGCTAACCTGATCTGTCATGATGCACTGTGCTGGACCAGAGCAGGCGAGGTCCAGGGTCCTCGCTAGGGCCGGAGGGTTGCTGTGCTTCAACAGCTTCCCGCTCGACCGGCTGATTGGTCCTCAATCAGCCAATCAGAAGCTGTCGTATTTGGTCGTGCACTGAGCTGACAGCTGATTGGCTACTCGCAGCGGTGGCTCATGGGAGGGCGGGCCCCAGACACTTGGCTCGCGCTTCCTGTCGTTCCCTTTCCTCTTGTCGCCCCGAAGGACATGGAGATCCGCCCGACGCCACTCACCATTTCCTGTGGATGGGCCTGTGCGCGAGTGAGGCAGCCCGGCCCCGGTCCCTCTCCCGATCCCCTGAAAAAAGAGCGAGAGAGAAGTCAGACAAGACCTAAGGGGTTCTTGGGAGCTGCATTCCCTTTGTGGATACCATCAGGGACCCACTTCTACCCAAACCCATTCATAATCGAATAGCGTGATATCTTGATGACCCAAACTTAATGGGCCGGTCAGATGTGCGTGAATTGTAACTTTAAAAGAAATGTTTCCAGGGCTTTGGTCAAACATAGCATTTGGGGGCAGTGAGATGGCTCAGCAGGCGCCCTGACAACCTGAGTTTGATCCCATACCTACGTGGAAGACCAGTACTGCCTCAAGCTGTCCTCTGACCGCCACACTTGTGCCACACGCACCCCACCCACCTATCCCGAAACAGCCCAAAGAACGGGAGAAAACTGTAATCCAGCTGTACTTCAGGCAGGGGATAAAATTCAGAATGTACAAAAAAATTAATCAACCAGAATGTACAAAGAATGTTCAACACGAAGGAAACAAAGCGGCCGATCAACAAATGGGCTGGTGAAGGAACATACTTGTGCTAAGTGGCTCCTACCAGCTCCATGCCAGGGCTGCTCTTGACAGGAGGGAATGTGGCTTCCTACCCCTGCCTCCACACTGCAGTGGCGACCACTCCAGCACAGGTCCCTACCATCTGTGGCCCTGCACATCTCGGCCCTTGGGCCTTCCTTCTCACCTGTTTGCTGAGTCACCTCTCTGTGACTACCTCTCTGGGGCCTGCCAGTAGAGGATTCCAAATTGAGGCAAGCTGTTCCCAGCACCCAGCTTACAGTCACACCCACTAAGTCCCACAGTCCCTAGGCCTCGTTAGAGCAGCTGCACCACAGAGCACGGACAGTCCACAGCTGGCTCAGAGACCTGGTGGGCTGGGATGAGCACCCCAGTGCCTCTGCATGCAGGGGTGGTGGCTGATGCGGCACTGCGCTGGGGCCCCGCTAACAAGCAGCGAGAAACAACAAAAGGAAGACCCCTATGGATTCGAGAAAGGAGAAGAAAAGATGGCCGCCACAGCCATGCTGGGAGGTACAGCAAGCCCACAGCTGAGGTATCCCAGCTGCAGGAAAGATGTGTGCCTAGATTCGAGGGTAGGGATGGTGAGCACAGAAACCACTTGAGAACATGAGGATTGTCAAGAGTTCCAGGCCAGGAAAACTGTCTCAAAATACAAACATAAATAAAATAAACCAGGCAGGCAGTGGTGGTGCAGAGCTTTATAAAGTCCCAGCACTTGGGAAGCAGAAGCAGGTGGATATCTTTGAGTTAGAAGCCAGCCTGATCCACAGAGCAAGTTCCAGGAGAGCCACAGTTACACAGAGAAGCTCTGTCTCAAAAACAAACAAACAAACAAACAAACAAACAAAAAGGATAGATAGATAGATAGATAGATAGATAGATAGATAGATAGATAGATAGATAGAAAATGAAAACAAAATGCTAAGAACACATTCTCCTGGAATTAGACAGATAGGTAGGTAGGTAGGTAGGTAGGTAGGTAGGTAGGTAGATAGATAGATAGATAGATAGATAGATAGATAGATAGATAGATAGATAGAATAGATAGATAGATAGATAGATGATAATGAAAACAAAATGCTAAGAACACATTCTCCTGAATAGAAAGATAGACAGATAGGTAAATAGAAAATGAAAACACAATGCTAAGAACACATTCTTCTGAATAGATAGATTAGATAGATAGATAGATAGATAGATAGATAGATAGATAGATAGATAGATAAAAAGTAAAAACAAAATGATAAGAACATACTCTCCTGCTAGGGACACTTCCCAGGCCTTTCAGGCTGAACGTTGGAGGGTTCTAGGTCACCCCAGTGCCTCTGACTAGTGTCAATTTACATTTCTTGTCTAGTGCTCTTGCTGCGGGGCTCTTCGCTTCTTGCCCTGACTGTGCTATTGCTCTCTCAGCTTGGCTGGCTTGGCCATTACCTTTTCCTCTTGCGGTCACCGGTATCATCGCCACCCCTTTCCTCCCTGTCTCCAACGGTGACGCGTCCCAGTTTTTCAGTGGGTGTGCCCGGTCTTCCTTCACTCTGTCCTGCTCCAGTGTGCTGTGGGATATGGTGTCACTGTCATTGTCCTCACTGCCATCAGAGCGGGAAAGGGAAGAGACCCACAAAGGCTCTGATACATTGCTACTTCCCAAATGCCTGTCGGCCTGCACACTGTGGCCCTAGGGCACCCTGAGAAGTATGCAGAAGAAGAAGCCACCTACTTGCCTGTGCTCCCTCTGTGTCCCCCACAACCATGGTGCTCTGCGGGAGCTGGCCTTCCAATGGAACTGGAATGCTGGGAACAGAAGCTCCATGGTGATGATAGGACAGGCCATCCCTCTCAGGCAGCCCTTGTCCCCCTGCTGGCTCCAGAAGGGCAGCATAGGCCCAGGAGCCACAGAAGCAGGCAGAAACGAGGTCCACTGTGCTAGGCTCAGGGTGTGGAAAGCTCAGTGGTGTGACTTTTTGAGTGAGTGTCTTCAAAAGGGCCCCTAGCACAGGACTCCAGCAAATGCTTTCTGGAGCCAGCAGCAGCTGCCTGGACCTGGCGTCCACTGAATGATCTGGCAGCTTCATGCAGCAGGCTCCAGACTTGAGCCACAGACTGGTGGGACACAGGCAGCAGGCAAGTGAGTCAGACCCAACACCCAGCTCCTCCCTCAGCTCTGCCCCTCATCCAACCCTCCCTAGCTCCACGTCCATACCTTGATACCTCACCCATCACTCCAGGCCTCACAGCAGCTGCCTCAGTGCCCTCCATCCCTGTAGGCCATTCTCAGCAAGGAGGCCATAGCATAACCTCAGCCCCTTCGGGGGCCTCTGTGGTGCTCACAGAGCCACCGTTCTTATCATGGCCTCCAAGGCACACGCATCCTTGTCCAAACGGCCACGACTCCATCCCACTCTGCAGCTCAGCCTCCCTCCCCAGCATGTTGCTCCTTGCTGCTCCACATGCCACGTGATCCCACCTGGACCCTCAGCCCAAATTGCTGTGCCTGTCACTAGCTATCTGTGGGCTTCATTCTGTGGGGTCCACAGAACAGGCCTCACTAAATGCTGACCGAGCCAGGCAGACTGTGAGTTTCGGAAGATGAAGATGCAGCTAACAGCAGCTGAGGTTTGGAGGTGCAGGTGTGTGCTTTCTGCACTTACTTCCCATAGTCACTTGAATCACCTGAAGAGGCAGAGACTTGTGGCCAAGCGAGTTCTCAGAACCCAGGCTGGCCTTTCTGGGACCCGTCAGAGTTCACCACCAGGCTGGGTATGCATTCTCTGCAGTATGCATAACCCTGCTCAGGCTAGCCACTGGTCCATATGGACCTGTCCCCAGTCTCCAGCCCCAGGGCTCCTTACCCAGCTGGTTCCTTGTGTCCTCTTCCTCCCTCCCTCTCACCCTTCCCCCCTGGCATTTCCCTCGGGGATAGTGAAGAGACCTTAAACAAACATCTTCCTGTGTGTGGCCATCAACCAGATGTGCGCAGAGAAAGAGGCCACCCTGGCCATTAATGAGTGGGCATCATTGTGGCCTTTAAGGATGGGGGTGGAAATCCCCAGGGATAATGAGGAGCTTTGAGATGAAGATAGTACACCCTTCATCCTGTGCTGGTGGGAAAGCAAGATGGTGGAACCACTGTCAAACATAGGCAGGGTTTTTGCCAGCGTTTTATTTTATGTATGTGTCTGCCTGCATGTAAGTACAAGGTGCAACCTGTGTGCATAGTCCCCACAGCGCCAGAAAGAGGGCACTGGAGTCCCCGGAACTGGAGGTATAGATGGTTGTGAGCTGCCATATGGGTGCTGGAAAGAAAACCAGGTCCTCTGCAAGAGCAGCCAGTTCTCGTAACGAGGGAGTCATCTCTCCAGCCCTGGGCAGGTTCTTAAGGCTGTGTGGTTCCCACAGTCCCTCTCCCTACTCTGAAGACCCTGTCCACACAACAGCTCTCCCAGGGTGCATATGACCACTCACAAGACAGCCACCTGCAAACAGTCCAAGGTCCATTAGCGGGATAGAGACAACCTGTCACCTCCCTCCCCCACTCCCGAGCGCTAGTCAGCCATGGAGGAGTGTGACGGGTGTAGCAGGATGGGGGAACCCCACCATGGGGCTGTGTAGTCTCAACAGGGAATGACCTCCATGGGACACAGGGCTGGAAGTGTGCAGCCCAGTTTTTTCCCTTTAGCTGTACACAGCACAGACAGATAACAGCCATATACTACTGGATTCTTGAAGGATGTGCAGGCATGGTGGGACAAGCCTGTAATCCCAGCGCCTGCCAGACCAGCACAGCAGGAGGATGGCTCTCAATGCAGCCTCATCTAGTCAGAGGTCTCTCCCCTTGGTCTCTCCCCTTGGAAAAAAGTGTCTAAATGGCTCCTTGGAAGGGGACAAATAACAGAAACTACTGTGTGCCCAGACTGAACACTCTGGAGGAGGGAAAGGAGGAAAACTGTAGATCAGCTTGGAAGATCCTCTACCAGCCTTTGTTAAGGATGGAGCTGCCTGAGAACTGCCAGGAGCCCACTACTTGGAGGGAAGCAGACACACACACCAGGTCCTGACGGCTAAGGCACGGGTTGCGCCTTCCCTTCCAAATCAAGGTCGATGCAGGACAAGGAGGCAGAGATCTTCCCCATTTGGAAGAGGGCAGAGGATGGCCTTGCTGCATAGCAGCTACCCCAGGGGACATAGGACCCTACCTATGCCCTGTGCCCTGAAAGCCCTACTGTCTTTTTTTGCTAGGGTTCTGTGGGCTGCAGTGACCCTGAGCTTCCACTAGAGGTCACACCACAACTTCTTTGAAAAGAATGGTTGGGGTGGTGGCGAATCAGATTGAGATTGCTAACTAGACACTTGACACAAGTAGGCTACATCGGCGCCAAGGGACAGGTCATGGCCCCATCTGTAATCTCAGCTCCAGAAGGCATCCATTCTGCCCTCATGGCTGTCTGCTGTTTCCCCTGGGACAAAAAAAAGCCAAGTTCAGGCTCAGGAAAGGAAAGGACAGCTGGGGCCACCTGTATTTTGCTTTAAAGTATTTCGGGCCGGGAGCTGTAGGCCACCACCTCCCCAGCCTTGTGGAGACAAAACTGCTTCAGAGAGCTGTGCGGAGACACTTCCCCCTGTGGACACCATTGTCTTGTTCTGACAGGAGGCCATCACTGATACACCTGCAGCAGTGGCTCTGCCCTGGGGGAGGGCAGAGGCCCCGAAGCGGCCACAGAGCAGCATCACACTGCTACATCTGTGTGTGTGCGCCTGGCTACACACGTTTGTGGAGGCCAGAAGTTGAGTGTCTTCCTCTATGGCTCTCCACTTTTTAAAAAAAGTTAATTGTTAAAGATTACTTGTGTGTGTGTCCCACCTGACATGCTGAGTGGGCCCTTGCCCATACATGAGCTTCCGGATGATGCCCAGATCTTCATCTCCCATCAGATGCAACGCTGGGATTAGACTCAAGCCATGGCATCAGGGCTTTGTTGTTTTAATATGGATTCCAGCCTCCTGATTGCACAAGCACTTTTATCCACCGAGTCACCTTACTGGCCCCTCCACTTATTTTTTTTTTTTAATATTTATTTACTTTCTATGGATGCTTTGTCTGCCGTGTGGCTGCATGCCAGAGGTGGTTGTGAGCCAGCATGTGGTACTGGGAATTGAACTTGGGAACCTTGGAAGAACAGCCAGGCTCTTAACCACTGGGCCGTCTCTCCAGCCCTCCACCTTACTTTTTTTAAGGAAGGTTATCTCACTGAGTTCACTCACTAGGAGGCCCCCAGGGACAGACCTTCCTGTTACTGCCTCCCCAGGCCTGGGATTACCAGCATGTGGGTGTTGGAGATCTGAGCTCAGATTTCCATGCTTGCACAGCAGTAAGTTTCTATATGGATTGGTCAAACACAGTTATTTTGCTCTTCTACTTTACGTAAGCACAAAACTGCTCCTCTTCAACATCCCATGATGCGACAATGATCCATGCACACTGGCCCTGGGCCCTGCCTGCCAAGTCAAGATGGCTAGGGTGCTGCCCTCTGGGCTTTCCTGAGGCCCCCAGGCAGTCAGCAGAGTCCTCAAAGCTGTCACCTTGCTGTAGATGCCTGGCAGAACCACGTACCCATTTCTGTCCTGTGTACCGGATTCTGTCCTATGTATCTATTTTTGTCCTGTGTAATGATTTCTGTCCTATAGCAGCATGACTACCTCCAACGCATTGCCACTGTCCTCAGGAGAATTGGGTGGGGACAAGGACACAAGCCAACAGTTTCCTGGGCTCTAAGGAGTCACCTTGATTCCTCTTCATTTGAAAAAGCTGAAGCTTCTCATCAGATCAACATAGGGGCTGGAGAGAGTTCTGCAGCTAAGAACTCGGCTGCTCTTGTAAAAGACCCAAATTCAGGTCCCAACACGCACGTGACACTCAAAATTATCTGTAACTCCAGCACCAAGGAATCTGACATCTTCTGAATCCTTCAGGTACCGGCCATGCATGTAATGTACACATGCAAGCAAAACACACATACAAAAATTGTGTGTGTGTGTGTGTGTGTGTGTGTAGGATGCACAGCACCAACCACCCTCCTTGACTGGCCCCGGATCTCCATCTTAGTAACACCAGAGAAAGAAATCAAAGGCCCACAACAAGGCTTCAAAAACAGGTTTACTGAAAACTGAAAAGAGAAGCAACCACACGTCCTTGGTGACAAGTGTCACGGGTGACGTCGGGCACCAGGCACACAGCAGCTACTCTTCAGGGCCCTTCCCTGACCCTTAGGCAAAGCCGAGCTGACCTGAGAGTTTTTAAGAGCCACCCTCTGTCCAGAGCTCAGGGGCGCTCCAGACAAGCCACACTTTCCAAACAGGCTTGTGAGCACAGGCAGGCGGGCTGGAAAAGCACAATTTGGCACTGTGTTGGTCTCCAGGCAAACAGAGGGTCCAGCCACAGAGACCAGCCCCGAAGGTGCCGTCAGAGCTGCTACCCACCCTTAAGCCCTTCTTTGGAGTTTGGCCATATGGGCCAAGGGGCTGTGAACACCAGTACCTCATTCACAAAGTTCCAAACCGTGGCCCCTGCCACCGTTTACAGCTTCTCTGGGGAGGATACCTACCCCACTCTCCCCCAAATCCACAGGCTTGATCTACAACAGCAAATGGGTGACAGTGACCGAAGGAGCAGACTCAAGCCAGACGAGTGTTCTAGGGGATGCCTCCCAATCTGCAAGCGGCTCAGCGCAGCCAGCCGCTCTGCCGGGCATCACGTCACATCGGGTGCTTGACATTCGTGCCCTACTGTCTTGAGAAGACAGTCTCAAACTAGGAAGTCGGATGACCCGAGGCTCATGAAATCCTGGCAGCTGAGCAGGACGGGTCCTCTCCACAGTACTAAACTGTAAACACACAGTTTTACAGTGGGTATATTGTTCACAGGTGGAGGGCTGGGGTAACCGGCGGCAGCTGGGGAGGAGTCCTGGCTGCCCAGGCCACAGTGGCGCTTAGCTCCAAGTTCATGGTGAAGGAACAAGCAAGTGCCCCGGGCTCACTGCATGGCGTGAGGGAGGGCTGGCTGGCACAGCATCTGGCCGGAAGCCACTGCCAAGCACCTCTCTATAGTAGACATGCGGGGACAGGGAGGTCCCAAGAGGAAGCACAGCAATGCTGCAGAGCTGACAGCCCAGAGCCTGAACACATGCCACAGGCGGCCAGACAGCCGATGCCAGAGAGAGACGAGGGGAGTCACAGGGCAAGGAGTCTAGAACTCCCACCACTGACAAGACTCTGATGCCGGAAGTCGGAGTGATGGTAGCCGATGTCCTGGCACTGCCAGGCCGAAACAGACACCAGCAATATCCTCAGGCAAAAGAGTTCAGTCCCCACTAGAAAAACTTCCCGAGGCTTGCCCGTAACAGTAGCCACACCATCTCGGCACACAGCAGGGCAGGTCAAGTGTTCAAACCCACAGGAGGCCTTCTCTCCATGGGCTATGCAGCCTGAGCAGCAAAATGGCAAGGCCAGCCAATGGTGGTGACATGGGGAGGCCCAGGGACAGAGATGGCCGCCTGCAGCCTGCCACCAGCGGAGTACCGGGGCCTGGCTGTTCCCTACAGGAGGTAGCACTGTTTCACTGCATTCAACAGTGCCGTCATCCCTCACTGACCCTTGCCTGCAGCAACTGGGGCGTGTGTTTCAGAGAGCCGGCGTGTGGTCGGCTAATTCGATGTGACTGCCCCTGCTTAACTGGAAGTTGCTGAGGGCTGAAGAACACTCTGAACTAGCAAGCCTCGGGTTCTGTGTGAAACGCACTCCCGGTTTTCTCCAAATTCGGTGAAACCTCAACAGCAGCCCTACCTACATGCCCAGCTGTCTCCACAGTCCCTGAGGCTTCACAGTCACATTTGTATTGTCTAAAGCCTGCCTCATCTGGCACAAGAAACACGTGACAAGAAGTAACAAAAGGCTTGGGGCTCAATTCTGCCAGATATTAGAGGCTGAACCCAGCCTGGAGGCTCACCTCAGGTTCCCCCACCGCTCCTGACAGAAAGCCAGCATCCTAAAGCCAGCTTGCAAGGGTCCTCTGCCACGCCACCCTCCTGAGTCTGCAGGTCCTTTGGCAGGAAGGGCTTGCCACCGTCGGGGAGGATACAGCCATCCTCACATGGCTGCCACCTTCCTACAGCCCCTCACCGGAAAGATGAATTCTAAACCCCTAGCTGGAGGGCTTGCAGCGGCAGTGCCAGTGATGAGCAAAGAAAGGGGCAGCCTAGAAGTATGCTAAACACCGCAGGGGCTGGCAGGAGTTCCCAAAGGTCTGCGCTCTTGGCGGCTGCACCGTCTTGCTTTCCCACGTGCTTCCCAGACAGATTAGCATGGGCCAGCACTCAGGGTGGCTGGGCAGGTGACAATGGTGCACTGCAGTGCGCTGCCATACACAGGTGTGACTGTCTACAAAACTGTCCCTCCCTCTCGCCTACAAAGAGCTCCACAAGTGTCCACTGCCGACACCAACACCGTGAGAGGCACCTTCACAACCAGAAAATGAAAGCAATGGGGTGGTGTCCAGCCAGGGCAGGGCCTACAAACAGACAGGGCGGGCTCTCCAGAATAGGTAGGAGCATGTGGCTGCTGGGGACAAGCAAGCGGATGGCTCAAGAGCCTGCTCTCACACCGGGGCAAGTGGGGCTGAGGCCACCAGGGGCCCAGGACGGATACTGCCATGACAATCTTTGGTGGCTCCAATCAGCCAGGGCAGGAAAACTGGTCCTGGCAGAATGCCCTTATCCAAAATCTCTTTTTCATGGGTGGGGGTGGGGTTCAAGCCAGGGTTTCTCTGTATAAGCCCTGGCAGTCCTGGACTCACTTTGTAGACCAGGCTGGCCTCGAACTCAGAGATCCGCCTGTCTCTGCCTCCCGAGCACTGGGATTATAGGCGTGCACCCACCGCTGTACCTGACTCCCTGTCCAAAATCTAAGAAGCCAGTGAGGAAACAGAAAGCCCTCGGGGTCCCGCAAGTGACACTCCAGCTCCCCTGAGGCTACCTCCCAGCAGTGACTGTTTAGGTCATCCAATGGAGACAGGTGCAGCAGAACACCTAGCCTCCCATGAGCCTCTATGGGTATGTCATGGCCTCCCTACAGACAGATTCACGTTCTCCTGAGGACCTGTGGGCTTCCATTTGATTCTCACCACCACTAGCTAGATTCATCCTGGCTCAACTTGTTTATTTCCCCACCATGCTTAATGTCCGCCTTCATAGCTACCAACAAATCAAATATACAAGAGTATGTTACACGCTATACAAGGAGAGAGTCTCGGGGTGACAGGGACCCTAGTGCGGAGGTGTGCGTTCATTTCTAAAGTGCATGCTTCCCCCACCCGGGCCCCGCGCAGCCCCTCCGCCCACGTGGAGGTCAGGAGGTGAGAGACTGGATGTTCCTGAGCATCTCGTCAAAGGCCTGAGGCGACGGCGCGTCGGCATTCTGGAAGGTGGCCTGGACTCGGCTGTACAAGCTGAAGGACTTGAGTTCTAGCCAGAGAAACCCGAAGCGGTCCTCATCGAACAGGACGAAGACACCGGGAGTGCGCTCAGGGCTGGTGAAGCCATGGCCTGCGATGAGGCCTGTGCCATAGAAACTAAAGAGACGAGAGAGAGCCATCAGAATGGGCCCAGACAGCATGAACACACAGCACATACCCAGTGCATTCCCTGTCAGCCTTTTCCATAGCTCCCGGCCACATCACAGCAATTCATAGGTTAAGTGGTGCCCAAGGAGGGCCTCACCTTACAGAGCTAGGGTCAGGCTCAGAGGTCCCTGACTACAATCTGCTAGGAATAAGCATGTGGGAGCCCTGGACACAGACCAAGGCTCTGAGCCACTTAGTCTGTGTGACTGAGACCAAGATTTGCCTATTTGTGGCCCAGAAGACATAGGCCCACTGGGAATTCTCCCATGCCCCTACCTCCTGCTCAGGAGAGCAGAGAGAATAGCACTATGGATCAGAGGCTCCTCAGATGGGGAAAGCATGCCCTTCTCCAGGTAAATCAACAGCCATGGCACCTAGAGAGGACCACAGAGACTTCCTGACTCAGAGTGCAGGAGCCTGGTCCTTACTCATCTATGCAGAACGGCCTGAATGACGAGATGGTCCCAACATAAGCTAGAGACAGTGGCCAGGACTAAAGAGGCGAAAGTCAAAGGGGCGAGAGCTGGTGCCCAGCAGGTTGGGTTGCGGGTCAGTGGCCCACCACCTGCAGGGGTGGACAGAGAAGACAGATACTACCCCTCCCTCAGCAGTGTTGGCACATATGACAAAAACCTCCAAGGGGCTGGCTGAGCTTGGAGGCAGCAGATATAGCTAGCCATGGGAGAGGAGAGAGGAATCACAGAGCCCACCAGCCGCAGTCACCAAGCCTGAGAGATGTGCACGATGGTGCCAACTGCAGGACAGCCCGCATACTGCAGTAGCGGAACCCTCCCCTGCTCCCCCCACTTGCCAAATATGCAGGGCATTTTCCGTGTCTTTTAGTACGTCATCTTTTGAGCCACTGGCGAAGCTTTGCCGCCTGTGCCACCTGAAGTGGCCCCCTGTTCTGGAGGCTCTTGGAAATCCCACGGTAGGTCCTTCTAGGAAAAGTGTTGTGTTCCATCTGCAGGGGTGTGTACCCCACCCCACCCTCAGGCTCAGGGTTCGAATGCTGCTGATGCTGCTCTGGAAGACTTGGGAGGGGGAGCTGTAGGAGTTTACTGGGGACAGCCTGGCCCATTTCTGGCTTATAGCCAGCGTCCTGGTCCACTTGTGAGCTGCTTCTGCCAAGAGTCCACAGCAGGAACACAGCCCAGCAGAGCTCTCCTGACTAAGCCGTGAGGCAGGGATCCCTCCACCCTGCCAGGAGCACCGCAGCTGTGTCGGCTGAGAGCTGGCCCTCGGTCCTCACCATAGCCGGCAGGTGCGGGGGTAGTCCTCATTCCTCGAGCTGACACCCACAGGCAACACAAACGGCTGCCCCTGCCCGGACGAGCCTGACTGTTCGGCTGCCTCAGCTCCACCACTGGGCTCTTTGCTGTCCCTGGCAGGTGGCCCAGCAGGACCCTTGGCTGCCGGCTCCCGGGGTGGGACTGGACCCTCGCCAGCCTCCTGCTGCTCCTGCCGAACCTGCTCTCGGACTTCCAGGACGATCCTGGACAACTCATTGAAGTTTCGGAGGTTCTCCACATCCGGCAGCTGGATCCGGCGCTGCAGATCAATCTCTACGGTCTGCTGGCCCGCAGGGATGTTGGGGTCACCCTGGAGAGGGAAGGTGACAGTAAGCAAGGCTGCGAGACCCCAGAAACCTCCCAGCCTGCGGAGCACGCCCTAGCTCTGCCAGGTTTTTGCAGAAGTATCTCACAAGGCAAGAGAGTCTCAAGACTTCCTTAAATCAGCTCCCACTGGCCAGTGAGTGACGAGAGGTGTCTGGCTGGACTGCAGGAACACTCCTGTGCCTAGGGACCCCTGCTTGTGAAGCATGTGGAGACCTCCACCAGGGTCTGGCCAGAAACAGGCCAGAAGCTCAGCTCAGGCTGGCCTACCTGGAACGTGGTTCCTGAGCCTGACTAGAGGGAGCTCTGGCCTCCACCACCCTGCCACTCAGTGCTGGCGGGGGGCTAAAACCCCAAGGGAGGGGCGGGGGGCTGTCCCACCAGGCAGCTGGACCTTGATTTTGGACCCTATAAGTCTCTCAGAGCAGAAGGACATGAAACCCGATGAAGGCTTTGATGCTCAGGACATATTTGCAGACCAGAGGCCGCCCCCTCAGAACTCAAGTGACAGGGCAATGTGGTGGCAAAGAGGCCCTGGCAAGGAGCAGCCACGTGTGCAGCCAGCGGTTCCAGAGCTCACTTTACCTGAGGCTCAGAGCCCAGCCCAGGCAAACCAACACAAGATGCGGGAGCCTGCAGAGGCAGAGGGTGCCAATGAGGCTGCACAAGGGGGTTAGCTAGGCAGCTTGGCGTTCCTTTTCCAAGTTCCAGCTCCTAAGGACAGAGGGTGTCCGGGTCATCGGTGCTGGAGAGGACCTAGAACTCGGCAGCCCAGCACTACAGGGTCCTCATGCACCGAATCCTACATCCCACGGTGACCACCTGCCTGACCACCAGGTAGCTGTGAGGGAACAGCACAGCTCACCGTGATCTTGGTGCCCCTGGCACGAGATCCGTGGAAGCTGAGCATCACAATTTCCAGGCCGTGGCTGCCATAGGTGCCCTTAAAGAGGCCTGGCTTGATGAGGTCATCAGGGTGGCTGGGAGGGAGGTAGATCCGGCGGTAGGTCAGGCAGTTGCTGTGGGGGGAAAAGAAGCGAGGGGTTCAGCTTGGCTGGACAGGCACCCTCTTGGCTAAGCCACTGGCCCCAAACCTTGGACACAGCACTCCTGGCACCAATCAATGTGCACTCTTGGGGCCTAGAAGGGCAAGCGCATGAGCACACCAGGGCTCACCACGGTCCTCAGAAAAAGAAGCCACCCCATGTGAGGGGTCATGGCCAGGCATGGAGCCAGAAGCCAGAGGGAGGCTTCCCAGGGACACTTAGCTTTAGCACATGCTGGCTACTTGACACCTGTACTGAGGTGACAAAGACAACAGATACCACAGTAGGGGTAAAAGATAAGGCTGTACTAGCAGCACCCACACTGAAAGGGGACCTGCACCTACAATTCCCACACTTTCAGAAAGGAGGGACTAAGTCCACGGTATACCTACCCAGAAAAGGGAGTACTGAGTTCACAGAACCCAAAAAGGGGAAGACAACTGTGTTCACAGTACCCACAGAATGGGGACAGCACTCCTCACAGAGACTGGCCACACTCACCCCGAGAGAGGGGCTGTACTCACACCTACAGTGACGTGGACTGCACTCACAGCACCACAGAGGCCCAGACTCACTCGTACTGACTGGTGTAGATGAACTTCATCAGAATCAGCTCCTGCATATGCTCGTGGAAGATGTCTTCCAGCGTGCGGCCCCACTCCTCCCTCAGCCACGTCCGAAACTCCTTCAGAGAACAAGGGCAAGAAGAGAGCTTTGCTGTGTGCCACCCAGCAGACGAACACGCCCAAGCTGAGGGGGCGTCCTGTTGGCAGGGATGAGCAGCAGCTGGTGACCACCGAGGTCTGGGTCTGAGGACGGCCACACAGGAAGAAGCAGAGCCGCCCTCCCCTTCCCAGGGTGCACAGACTCCAGAGAGGGCAACGAGGTCACAAGGCTTCCCCCAGGCAAGGCTGGGGCCAGAGCCTCTGTCCTGGGCGGCAGCAAGTGGGGCATACTGTGCCCATGGTGGAAAACAGTGGTACCCATGCCGATCCAGCTCCACCATGCAGACCCCAGGAGACCTCAGGCACTGGAAGAGAGCAGGAGCAACAGGTCCCCTGTCCTAACCTCTGCCATCCCAGCCAGTGGGGCCACTGCCTGCAGCTGCCAATGACACACACAGGACAGCCTGACAGTTCTTTCCCACAGCACTGTCACAGCCTGGTGAGTCCATTCAAAGTATATGTACAGAGAAGAGGCCTTAATGAACACAGCGTGTATGAGGCACAACAACTCACTATGCATTCTGCTGTTGTGTCTTGCAAGTCCTGCTCGCTCAGGACAGGACAGATAGGCCCTGCCCACTCAAGACAGGACAGGCCCTGCCCACTCAGGACAGGACAGGCCCTACTCAGGAACCCAGGAGCCATTGCAGGGCCGACAGGAAGTCAGGGCCACAGTACAGTCAACACCAGCACAGAACAGGAATACAAAATCTTATAAATTTCTATTTCCAGCATCCCTCGCAAAGTAGGGCTTGAGACCACCACATACAGGGTCGCTATTGCAGAAGCCACAGAATGAGGCTGGTGAGAGGAAAGGCCTGAAGGGGAAGTTAGGCACGCTGTCTGGGCACAACACCCTGCAAAGACAGAGATCCCCTGCAAACTGACCCCCAGGTCCAACACCCCCACACACAAGCTCACCCCACACCACTCCGAGAAACCGAAAAACCCATGCAGGAGCTCTAGAGAAATGCAAAGAACCCAGACATGTGGACAAAATAGAAAGACACTGCAAGCTCACCAGTAACAGACCTGAGCTATTATGAAGACCAGCAGGTGGGTCCCTGGAAACAAAACACACAGGGCCACAATCTGGCTCATTTTCAGCCAGGATGTCCAAGCCCTGACTGAAGAAAGTCTTTGACCCTTCCTTACTCATGTGGCATATGCAAGAGGCCACAGCCAGGACAACAAAGCAAAACCTTTTCCACCCCAATCCTGAGGGGAGGTGTCAGGACACTAATGGGGGCCACCATGCCTCTGTTTTAAAAAGGGGAAGGAAAGATTGTCTGCAAACTGAAGGTAACACTTTTTAAAACATAAAATAATTTTTTTAACTTTTATTAATTACACTTTATTCACTTTGTATCCCCCCCCATAAAGTCCTCCCTCCTCCCCTCCTAATCACACCTTCCCTCCCCCTTCTTCACGCATGCCCCTCCCCAAGTCCACTGATAGGGGAGGTCCCCCTCTCCTTCCTTCTGATCTTAGTCTATCAGATCTCATCAGGACTGGCTGCATTGTTATCTTCTGTGGTCTGGTAAGGCTGCTCCCCCCTCAGGAGGAGGTGATCAAAGAGCAGGTCAATCAGATTATTTCAGAGGCATTCCCTCTTCCCATTACTATGGAACCCACTTGGACACTGAACTGCCATGGGCTACATCTGTGCAAGGGTTCTAGGTTATCTCCATGCATGGTACTTGGTTGGAGTATGAGTCTCTAGAAAGACCCCTGTGTTCAAATTTTCTGGTTCTGTTGCTCTCCTCGTAGAGTTCCTGTCCTCTACAGATCTTACTATTTCCCACTTCTTTCATAAGATTCCATGCACTCTGCCCAACAGTTGGCCTTAAGTCTCAGCATCTGCTTTGATAGTCTGCAGGGCACAGCCTTTCAGAGGCCCTCTGTGGCAGGTTCCTAACCTGTTTCCTGTTTTCTTCTTCTTCTGATGTCCATCCTCTTTGCCTTTTGGGATGGGGATTGAGCATTTTAGTCAAGAGTCAAATTCGGCTCCACTGAAATTAAGCCCTTCCGGCTGAAGAGATGTCTCAGTGATTAAGAACATTTGCTGTTCTTCCAGAGGACCCGAGTTCAGTTCCCAGCACCTACACGACAGCTCACAATGACCTTTAACTCCTGCTCTAGGTGACCTGACACCCTCGTCTGGGCTTCTCGGACATATTCAAACTAGCGCACACAATAAAAATTTAAAAGGCAGAGGCAGCCATATCTCTGCATGCTGGGGGCCAGCCTGATCTACATAGAGAGCTCCAGGACAGCCTGTCTGACTTAGTAAAACCTGCCCCGCCCTCAAAATCAAACCTTTCTTTACAGTGGCTATTCTTGTGGAGGAAAGATTTTTTTTTTTTTTTTTTTTTATAAAAATCAAATAGTTAACAGACAAAAGCAACTGAGTGGGAGAAACAGAGACTCCATGAGCATCACGCTGAGCTCAGTGGAGCTAACACCACCCAGAGGCTGACCTGGGAGCGTCATTAGGAAGCCCCCAGCCCACTTCGCAGTCAGGCTCTGAAGCAGACTGGTCACCACTCGTCCTGGCCAGCCCCAGCTACACAAGGACAGCACCCAACTCAGGAGTGACCATCCATCATATCCGTCCAGGGACACACTGTGCCTGGCACTCAGCAGTCACCATCACATGCTCCCAACAACCCTGGGAGACGGCCAAGGGTGAGGACATGGCTGTGCTCCCTCCTCTCTCCCCACCTCTGCTCTTCACAGTGCCCTCACAGCTCCAAGGCTGCTCTCTGCAGGAGAGGGGATCGGCTAGGTGAGAGGGGGAAGAAGCTGGCTTGGCTGCTGCAAAGGAAGCTCAGGTGATGTCTGTGGATACCTGGAATGGACACACCTGTCTGGGAAGTGCTGGAGATCTGAGCCAAGGAAATCCAGAACTTAGGAACACTGAACACCATCTTTGGTCTCACTCCTAACAAGAGACACCCAGCTCCCAGTGAGAAGTACTGCTTGTTTCAGCCAGGAGCACAATGCATTTGTAATCAGGAAATATCCTCCAAGGCCAGGGAGCCAGGCAGAACCATAGAATCCCATCACACACCTCCAGACACTGAGCCCATGACCTCCATCTAAGGTCATAACAGCTGAGGGCCACGTTGGAAAAAAATGAGAACTACCAACAATCTCCCCAGGGCGGCAAGTGGAGACCCTTGGAAACCCACACCAAACGGCAGGGTTAGGACAGAGACTTCACTGGAACTCGCCTGCAGTGCTCTGGCCACCAGGAACCCTGGAAACTCAGGTGGTGGATGTACACCCATCATAAACAGCTCCAACAGACACCCACACTCAACAATTCCAACGTAATGGTGGTGTGGCTTAGATGCTCACAATCAGACCTCAAGAGCAACATCAACTCACTTGTGCAGGGGTCAGGAAGCCCAGCACAGGGGCATCCACTGTGCTGCCATGGTCTAGAAGTGGACCAGGCAGCTCTGAACAGGCCTCAGGGCCCCTGAGTTGCACATCTAGAAGCAGCTTCCAAACGTTCAAGCGGGCGGGCTCCCACCAGAAGGTGCAGGAGGGCTCGGGGTCGGAGAACATAAGCAGAGCTCATTTATGCACGTGTTCTCGTGGGTGTTTCTGTACAGTGGACCGCAGGCACGCTCTGCACAGACAGGGCTGGGGAGACAGCATGAAGCAATGATGCTGGTCTCGAGGCAGCAACTGCAAACCATGGGACCTCACATGCTTTGCCCAACTGGAGGCCAGGTCAGTGCCCCCAAGAAAAGACAACCAGCCACAGCCTCCCTCCCAGACTCTAGTAGGACTCACCTCCTGCCTCCCACCAGACATCCTGTGGTGATCCGTCTGGTTGCATTTGGTGGAGAACTCATCCCTCTTCACGATCTTCAGTGTGACCATGGGAGGAAAAGAACCAGGGGGAACAATGACTCCCAGCATCCACCACCTTCCCCTCCAAATCCACTGAGACCCCGAATGTGTCAAGTCTGGCAATGCCGGCCTGTAATCCCGGCTACCTGGGAGACTGAGGCAGGAAATCCCAGGTCTGCCTGAGCAAGAATGTGAACTCCAGGCCAGGCTAGACAACTCAGTGAACTGTCTCAAAGTAAAAGGATGGCATCAGTGGTGATGGCCGTCAGTAAAAAACTCACAGTGGAAGCATGGGGACCTGAGTGGGAGTACAGTGGCTAGGGCTTGTAATCTCAGAGCTGGGGAAGTAATGACAGGTCCATCCCCAGGGCTCCCTAGCCAGCCTCACATAATCGGGTCACAGGAAGAGATGCTGACTCGGAACACAAAAGGGACAGCTCACAGTTAACATCACCTGAGGCTGGTCCCACGTCCACATGATGCACACACAGGCTCACAGGCACACACAGGCCCACACAGGCCCACAGGCCCACACACAGGCCCAAAGGCACACACAGGCTCACAGGTACACACACAGGCCCACAGGCACACA